TATTAAGAGCTGAGAGCAGCAGATAATGTACCAGCCAGTATTAAATTAGCAAAACTACCCAAATGCCAAAGTTATTTTAACTGATAAAACTCTTTCCATGACCAAGATGAGAACAGGATCTAAACTAAAAGGAATAGAAAGAAAAGCCTTTGTGTCATTACATTTATACTAACACAAGTCCTTGAGAACTGTGTGAGCTAAAAAGTGATGGCTCATTTGGGGTCTAGATAAGATAAGTCTAAAATATAAGCAGTCAGTGTGCCCTAGAAAAAGAACATGGGTTATGTGGACTTCTATTATCTTAAAAGTAAGCATAAAGGCTTAAGTTAGGTTATAATAAATGCCTGCCACTATGAATAGTCTCTGGGTTTTTTTGGTGGGGGGGGGGCATGAATAATGTAGAAGTCTTGTCCATTTGACCAGTAAACTACTGGTAGAACTGCAAAGTTGGCCAGGGTCTCAGTAAAGATCTTAGTTATAAGCCAGATATCACACATGTCCATGTCTTTAATTGTCATGTATGCATAATAATTTTCCAGGCCAGAATTTTCCTTCAGTTGTAGACTAGTATGCTCAATACCTACTCGTTGTCCTCACTGAAGGGGACACTTTAGATTTAACCCGTCTAAAATTAAACCCATGGTCTTCCTTGCCTCATCCAGTCACCCTTTTCCATGCTCTCCTCTACCTAATTCGTCATATAAGAATTGGGAATTGTCCAGAGCCTCCTTCCGTAGCTGATTAGTTATTAATTTTTAATTCTTGCTGGTTTTTCTCTCCTGAATATATTGAGAAACTGTCCATCTGAAATCATCACAATAGTCCAGGCAAGGGCTGTCTCCTTCACAGCAATCCTCTTCCTGCACACAGGCCTTCTGATCCACACAGCCGGAGAGACAGTTTAGAATGCAAAACTTGGACTAGTTGCTCCTCTGCTTAAAATCCCTCAAAGGGTTCATATTCTTGGATTGAAAATCAAAAAACCTCAAGGCTCTACAGAAGCTGATTCTGACTTATCTCATCAGCCTAATCTTCCTCTTCTCCAATCTCACTAGCCTGCTTTCATCTCTGTACTTGCCAAGCTGCCTACTGCTTTGCAAAGTCCTTCAAACTGCAGTTCCTCCTACCTGGCATGCTCCATTTCCCCTTCCAGGGCTCAGTTCCAACGTCCATTGCTCAGGTGGGTCTTCTCGGAGTACGATCTCACCTCCAATGACAGTCTTATTAATTACAGGAGGGCTATCATGTTTACTGAGGACTTATGTGCACACATTGTTTTGGGTATCTTCCATCTATTAATTCATCCTTACTACAATCATATGAGTAGTGCCCATTAAATATTTTTAAAGGAGACAAAAAGCCCAGGGCAAAGTACCCTGAGATTCTTTAACTAAACACTTTAGGAAATAATTTTTAAAAAATTTTATAATGATTTGCACATACTCAGATCATCCCTCCAGTACTGACAGAAGTGGTACCAAGGAAAGGTCTGGTTCCTCAAAACTTGGACAGCTCACAGAAGAAAATGTGATGATGAATATGAAGGGAGAGGACATTAGTAATTTGTCAGTGTGCTGTGCAGCTGGAGGCCATTTCAAATGTACATCAGTATACTCTCAAAGACATATGATTAAATAAAGATATATGATTCAGAAGATACCCCCAAAAGAGGTATTTCTTCTAACGTCAGCTGACACCCTGTGATTACTTTTATAAAGGCACTGGCACATTTTATCAATTTATATGCATCTTTATATTTGATCTCCTAAAACACAATTTTGAAGGAGGTCCTTTAACAATGTTCAGTTCACAGAATCAAACCAAGACTTGGAATAAATTAGCATCATTTAAAAAGATATTCTAAGTAGGGGAAGTTCTCAATGGAAATTATTTAGGATAGTGGATTTCTTGAGACAAAAGTCACTAGTAAGCCCCAACCTACAATATTTTTGGCCTTAACCTACAATAGTGCCTATTACACAACCAATATTTATTGAATTCAGATGAAATATAACTTTTTGAACCAGTTTCTTAAATCCTTTACTTCAGTCAGAACAAATTAGATGTTCACTGTCATAGTCTAGAGATTTAAGAAGTGCTAAGTTAGTAAACATAGGCATTGAAATTTGACTAGGTAGAGCTTAGCAACCTAGTGAGAACTTGTCTCAAAATTTAAAATAGGCCTAAGGATATAGCTCTTTAGGAAGGCCCTGGGTCTTCATATTAAACGAATTCATCTATTATGTCTCCTTCTGCGGGAAAGCACATCACCAACATTTACATGGACACTCTTCATCTTAAGGTACTATGTAAGATCTTTGAGATTGCCTTAAATTGTAGAAAAGTATACAGATAGTTTTAAAAACAAAATCAGTGCCAGGCGCACGCCTGTAATCCTAGCACTTGGCAGGCCAAGGCAGGAAGACTGCCTTGAGTTCAAGGTCAACCTGAGCTACATACTGAGTTCAAGACCAGCCTGATCTACACAGTGAGACCCCTGTCTCAACACACACAAATACACACACACACACACACACACACCAGACACAAACCGTTCAAAATTTAAAAACACAATCAATAACAGGAGTGATAGTCATATTTTATAAAATTACTCATACTATAAATGTATACTATCAAATTCTTTAAAAACCTAATACACTACTCTGAAAGAAGGGACATGGTAAATGTCTGTCATACCACTTACTCCTAAAAGGACATCTAACGTTGCTTGTGTTTTACAAAATGGCTACATATTTTGTTACAGGAATAAAACTAGGCTATTATCACATCACTCGATTCATGATAATTTTATACTGAAATATAAGATGATAACTCAGAAGAATCAGAAGGATAAACATGATCATAAAATACTATAACAATGAGCTATATTTAGGTAATAAGTATTTTTATTTCAACTCTGAAATTCAATGTCAGCAAAACTATTTCATTATGTCAATCATCAAAAATTTATAGACATTTCATGCTAGTCCACATAATCATTTGTTCACTACAAATTCCTAAATAAGGGCCGGGGATTTAGCTCAGCGGTTCGGTGGCCTGCCTTGCAAGCACAAGGACCCGAGTTTAATCCCTGATACCAAAAAAAAAGAAATTCCTAAATAATTTTCTAATACTCACTGGATGCCTTCACTCGACCTGGACAATACCAGTCTTATTCTGACTACCACCCTTAAATGAAACAGTAGATATGGGGAATATCTTATGTTGCCAAAGAGAAATAATTCTTAATTGTCACAGGTAACTGTGTTAAAAATATATACATAAACTACCTATCGAACAAAAAGGTAGAAGATAAAAAAAGGTAGAATGCAGAATTATGCCAATAGCTCTATTATTTTTGTAGCTAACGAGGTGGATATCTAAATAAAGATCAGTACCAGTTTATGTTATTAACCTTATTATAACATCTTTAAATATTCTTAGGATAAAATAATAGACTATAAAACCAGTAAGCCAATAAAGAAGCAGATAAACATTTTAGTAAGACAAAAGAGGTAATTTAAGTTCACTTTTCAAAGGCAAATCTGTACCACAATTTATAACTGGAAAGGAATAATAATATCTTTCACATTGTTGTAATCAGAAGCAGCCACAATGCAAAATTAGAAGGTCCACGTAGATACCATGTGCAGCTAGGGTGCAATGTAAAGTTTTATTTCATATAAAATGTTTGGGGGGTGGGGGCATGGCTGAGTATTGAACACAGGGCCTTACACAGTAACCATGCACACTCTATCTACCACTGATCGATAACCCAAACCACTTCCACAGGACTAACCTGAGAAATCACTTATCCACTGACTTGAGGGTTGTGTTCATCTATTTAAAGCTAAAAGAATCTTTTGTTTTAAAACTAGGTCTTACTCTACCCATATATATTAAAGGAATTACTAGCATTTGGACAGCTAAAAACAGTTTTTAAAAAAGTCAGATTCTGCTGCCAAAACTATTAATTGAATGGTTCGGTCACTTTTTCATTAGTTCACCTGTGCCTCCCTCAGCGTCCCTGTCCTTTCACCCATTTCTCTAGCCCATTTATCACCCAGTGTGCAAACACTGGACTTAATGAGCTCTTAACTGCCATCACAAAACTTCACCGATTCCCACTCTGAATTTGCATCTCCTGATCCTGTGGAAGAGTCATTATACTAAGGGTCAGGGTAGGGAAGGAGAGCCTTTCTTTTCCATTTAAATGAAGAGACCCATGAAATTCGGTAAATAGTTGTTAGAAAATCCAGAGAACATGTGTGTCTGTCTTGTAAGTTTAATTACAATAATTGGAACCATTTGTTTCATCTGGATTACAGATGTCACCAAGTTATACATGAGTCAAACTGGTTTTACTATACTCCTGATTTATATTAATATTATGGGAAGCCATGATGAGTCAGCTAATTGCTCAGGCGCAGCCATGTTGCTGTGATCTGACCTTGTGAAGATGTTGTTTGTGCTTTGACCTTGTGAAGTTTCGTTTCTCTTCCAGAAGTCTGTTTCTGGTAAATCACATGAGCTAATATTCTGCTGTATGTCCATATATGGTAAAGAATTGCTTCACTTCTGTTGTTTATTCTGCTAAGAAATATATAGTAGGCTGTCTTAATAAAGCTTTCAGCTTTGGTGCAGCCCTCACCACTGCTCACAGAGTTTGTTTCTTCTCTGACCACAACCTCTCAGGGTTGGGGCCTGCTGGCAGGACCCCGACGTCACGGCTCACGACAAATATCAGTTTTAATTTCCAGAAAAAATTACCAAAATTGTTTCTGACAATTCACTTCTTCCCAAACTCCTTAGTCCCATGTGTTTCAAGATGCTTTCCCCTTCCTGACAGTTCTCCCTACCTACCACCTTTCACAACTTTTTCCCTTCAGACATAAGCTTGGAGACCTAGTAAGCTCCTACTTCCCAAATTTTGGAGAAGACTACTCCCACCAAAAAGTTATCAGAATTATGTTGATAAATATGATATAATGGTATCTCACCTGTATCTTGTGCAAGTAGCATTTTGGCTTGATGGAGCAACTGGTTTGAAAGTGATGGGTGGGGAAACCTGGGCTGAGAGCAGAAATCCCAAGGCAAGAATTGTAAGTGCTACTGTTGTACCTAAAAAAAAAACCCAAAAAAAACCAAACAGGTTTTATATCAGAAAAGAGTTGATACAATGAGGATAAAATTTAAAGCAAATACAATTGCTACCCAAGAAAAAACTGGCAATGATATTCCTAAAAAAAAAAACACACACACACTCAAAAAGTAAAGCACTTAGGACAGGTGAAAGTGCTACTGAATGCCTATCATGTCAGGAAACATGAGATAGGCAAAATATTTGCAAGTGCTCTTTTTGGTGCCATGAAAATTCTACTAGTGCCACTAAATCAGTGAACTCAAAGTAACAAACTGATTATTTCTAACGCAGGTAAAAGAATGTCTTATATTAAAAAGGAAAAGCATATTTTTGAAAGAAAACACAAATTTTTTGGAAAAGGAAAAGACTTTTAGATACCAGAAATGCTGTAATACATGCATTCATTTTTTTCCCTTTCTTGTTGATATTCTGAAATATAATACTTATCTTTCACTTGAAACAACAGGATTGATGATTATACCTTTTGCTCAAAAGGCCCAACTTTGAGTCCCTGTTATACCCTAGTGATAAATAAGAAAGTACTCAAATTTCTGCTTACTGGTTCAGAATTGTGAGGATAAATAAAACTGTCCCAAGAAGAAAGGAGCAATGGTTGCATTAATTTACACAATTTATAAGAATGAGACAATATGTGTAAAATATGGAATTTAGGAGATCATTTATGTAGTCAAGATTTTACTGATGTAACTGGAAGGTAATTTAAGAAAAGACCAAAAGTAATACTAAAAGACTAGAGTAAAAGAAACTTGGGAAAGACTGCAGGGCCAGTGGTATTACATAAGGGATAAGGCATCTGTGAGATGGGTCATATTCACCACAGTGGAGCGAGGTGCCCTAGAATCAGAGGCTGTGGATAAATATACACTCTGCCTGGATGTACCCTGACCTGGAGTCCAAGTCTCCAGAAACGGGGATGAGATGGCACAGGTTCAGAGAGCTTCACAGATGATTATGAGGTTTAGACAAGAGAAAAACACTTACAGAAGAAAGGATCCCTTAAAGAAAAGAATGGTACCCCATGTAACTTATTTATGGAACAATTTTTAAAATGATCATCTAATTCTTTCATTGGCTCATATATTCATACCATAATATTACCCTAGTTACCTTTTTCTTTTCATTTAACAAGGTATAGACGTTTTATCAATAACTTGCTAGTATATAAAGTGATTATAGTTATGCCAAATGATTCATTTCTTTCTCTCTCTTTTTTTGGGGGTGGGTACCGGGGATCAAACTCTGGACCTTGTGCTTATGAAGCAGGCAGCAGAACCACTGAGCTAAAACCCCTGACTCCCAAATGATTATTATAACTTAGGTTTGAGTCTTAATATAAGAAGCTTTGATAAGCTGGGTGTGGTGGCAAACACCTGTAATCCCAGCACTCAGGAGGCTGAGGCAGGAGGATCGCTGCTGAGTTTGAGACCAGCCTGGGATACATAGTGAGTTCCAGGTCAGTCTCAACTACATAGTGAGACCCTGTCTCAAAAAAAACCACAAAAGAAAAAAAAAAAAGAAAAGAAAAAAAAGAAAGCTTTGGATGAAAAGATTTTCTACAGTGTACTGGTCAGTTTTAGAACATTCTTTATATTTCAAGCAGAGTCCCAGCCAAGCACAATTGTAGATTTTGGAATTTTGATAAGTTTTATAATAAAGATATTCTCCACAGGAAGTGAGGTGTGTTAGATTAATGCTACATGTAAAAATATTTGATGTAACATATTAATTATCTAGCACAATGCCTTGGGTTTTTAGTAAATACTAAAAAAAAAAAATTTTTTTTTCCCTTTCTGAGTTCTTCCAATGTGTGATTAAGCATTACCAGAGGAACCTGTTTAAATGCACGCGCTCCAGACTCTATCTTCAGAGTCTAAGTTTAGTGGATCCAGGGGCCAAGAATCCACATCTTAAAGTAAGATGCCTTGATAGTTATGAAGTAGAAAGCCTACAAGTAATGTTTTCAGAAATACTATCAAATATGTAGTGCAATAAGACATGGTGTTTCTGGCTAAAATGTATTACTAATATAGTTACACAGATATAAACTGCACCATTTACAGAAAGAAAAAGTTACTAAAATTGTAGTATTTATTAAAAAGACCAGTTCTCTAAACAAACTTTGAAAATATTAAAAATAAGACGACAAAAGGTCCCATATTTAGAATTATTCATATATAACATATCTTATGTTCCTCTGCAGTTTCTTTATCCAAATACAAAGTTTATTTGTAGTAATTTTGAAAGGATGGAAACCCATTCAAAAAAATTTTGACATAAGATTTTCACACCTTTTTAACCCATAATAAATCACAAATATGGATGACTGAATCAAACGTTTAACAATTCTAGAATTTAATTAAAATTTTTAATTAAAAAATTAAATGGAAGCATTGTCATAAAACTTAGTACTACTAGAATATCACATCATACCTATATACAAATGAAAAAAAACAAAAACAAAAAATACAGTAAATTTTAAATGAATGGAATCAACTGGTGTTGGAGTGTGAAATCCTATCTATTGCGAGGGCCGTGTTGGAGAAACACTAACAAACCAACACGGCTGTGTAGTGCTAAGGCTCCTTCTGAAGATACACACTTCCACTGGTCAGTGTCTTCCTGTGGACCAAGTGTATCCCAACGAAAAACAAGAACTGCATAAACACCACTCTTTACATCATATGTACAGATAAAAGAGGAGACCTGTGATGAGAAGCCAGGCCTTCACACTCCTAAATAATCTACTCCATTACTTCAGCTGGATACATGACAAGGATATCAGATGTGTACTTAATTGGTTCTATGTCTCAAGTAAGAGGGATCACTATAAAGTAACTGGGCTGGAGCATTTGGCTGAAAAGAGGAAAAGAGCAGGAGAAAAAAAAGAGCCTACAGGTTGCTTATGAGAAGGAGCCTATGAAATCTGTTGGTCTTCCCTTTCTACATAGTTGCCTTAGTATTTCTTAACCACTTATCAATCCAATTATTTCAACAGAGGACGACCAAAAACTGGATTTTTCACTCATTTATAAGATAACAGGAAATATAAAAAATGACTATCTTATCAAATTTATTCAGTAGAAGAAATGACTGGTTGAAATGATACCTACCCGAGCACTGCTCAGGAAAGTGTGTCAACAAATGCACTGCCCAAGTGATGCTGAGGGTAAGCTGTTAAGTGGTTAAACAGTGGTAGGATCTCCAGGACTCTTCAGCAAAACATCAGGGAGGTGAAACACAGTGTCAGCTAGAAGAACTCAATAGAGTCCCTGGAGGGAGGCTGATTTTGCAGTGTGGCTAAAATGACAGTGTCGCTCTTTAGCAATAATAATGCTGTGATAGCTAAATGATCTCAGTACTTTACTGTCTATGGAATGCAGTATTTAAATGCTATACATAAATGTGTTGAATCCTCACTACAAAAGTATAGAGATGATAATTAATACCCATGTATAGGTCAGAAAGTGGAGCTTAAGCCAAAGCCACACAACTCAGACTCAAAAACTGCCTGGTTCTATATCAATAATGCCTCAAAAATTCTGTAGAACTGATAAGAGAGTGTCTTACTGGACTATGATAGCGGCACAGGCTGCTCAAAAACAATGTTTAATCAGCAGTCTTCCCCAAATTTTCAAAAGCCAAATCCCAAATTTAAGCACTTAAATTCTATTTTAAAATAGTCCTCAAGGTAGCAATGTATGTTGAAGAGGAAAAGTGTTCATTTAAAAAATCTGAAAGCAGTTATTATTTCTTCATAGTGTTGAACTGAACCAAAAGGGTCAGCAAATTCTATTTCTAGCACCCTGTAGGAATGTATCTGGAACACAGCTCTCTTGATGGCAATCAGTCCTTTGTTTATCTGCCTAAGGATACAGCTCCCCTTCACTGCTGGATAGCTCTGGGTAAATAGAATATTTTTCTTATATTAACAAAAACTCTATGCTCTCATACCATCTACTATCTGCTATATCTAATGGGCTTCTCTTTAATTTTTTCCTCCAGGCTACCCACCTTTGTTTTTTTCACCAGGCTTATAAACGTATGGCTTTTAAATCTTATCTGTTCCCCTACAGTTCTTCACTTAACCCAATACTTCCTGTATAACCTGGTGATTTCAATCACCATTGTTCCTTAATCAATATCTCACCTTTGTCTCAGTGTGAACACTTCAGTTCACCTCGTGTTACCGCTCAGGCAAAAATAGGAGGTGGAAGAATTCTACTACATCTACAAGGAAGGTATGCATTCCCAGTAATTAGAATTTGGAACCCAGAGTGTATTTTCTTATCAAAATCTGGGACAAGTGCCTGTAACAGTACTATTACATCACTGTTTTAGGTATAATTTGGTTAAAATAGAATTTAGTTAATGCTGTCATGGAAACTATATTTTAAAAGAAAAAGTATTTTAAGTCCAAATATATTTACAAAGACACTATTATAGAATACAGCTAATTGAAAAGTAGGAATATACTTTTACACTTGAAAAATTTTTTAAATTAAGAAAATTAAGATGTGACTAATGTCAAAACAGAGTTGTAGCCTGTGAAGTGAAATAAGCTTTGTGTTAGAAAAATAACAAATGAAATAATAAACACAAAAGATACCTGAGAGCATAAAAGGTTTTTGTATTTAGCTATCATAGAAAACTCTTAACCAATCAAAATTTAGTCTAGGGGCTGTTTTTAACACCAAAAGTACTGTCCTTATTTTGTGAAAAAACTGTAAATATATTCCATTATTGGAAGAGATTTGGAAAAAAGCACCCCAAATTTGTTTCCATAGAATTCCAAGTTTAAACATACATAAAAATATAACATGTTAAAAAGTGAGTTAATACCAAGTTTTTCAAAGACAATAGGATCATTCCTTTCATTCCTCTCAGGCAAACACCAAATACAAAAAATAATCCTTTACTAGATCCAGATGTTTTCTTACAATTCATTTCTACTTACAATCTAATTTCATATTAATATCATATCATATATTACAAATTTTTAAGGATTATACTTTTTAATTAAAACTTTTTGCACTATTCACTCTAATTTTATATTGTTTGGTCTTGGAAGGAAACTGTCATCATTAGGAAGAAATTTAAAACTGAATTCTTCATCTATGTACCTACCTGCTAAACTGCCAAAGGTAAGCTTTCTGCGGCCCACTTTCTCAACAAGCCACACTCCCACGAGCGTGAAAATAAAGTTTGTGAAGGCTGTAACTGAAGCCAGCCATATTGCGAGTCTGTCATCTTCCACACCAGACATCTGCAGGATGGTTGCACTATAGTACCTGTGAGACAAAGAATGAAACAACTGTTGCTGAGGTTTTTTTTTTTTTTTTTTAAAAAAACAGTTCCTCAGGGAGGAAAAAAAAATGCAGATTCTTCATTAAAAAAATAAAAATCATGGCTAACTACAATAATATCAAGTTATCAGGAGAGTTCATAGAGGTGTTTAAAGAATCACAAATCAGAAATTGTGTTCAGATGCATTTATTTTGTACTTTCTATAATCAAGAAATTGCAGTCAAGTAAGTGGATAGAGGGTATTATGATTTAGATCTAAAAATGTCCTCTAAAAGTTGGGTTGGGAGGCAGGCACTGATTGGAAGGCATGGGTGACTAAGAGTGTGACTTGTTAGGGTGCATTCTTCTGATTCCTTTCTCCATCTGCTTCCTGGTCACTACAATGTATGTAGCCATTTCACCATCCTACTTCTCTCTTGTCGTCAACTGACTATGGACTAAAACTGTGAGCCAAAACAAACCTCTCCTTCTGCTAAGTTGTTGGGTATTGTAACCCAGCAACAAGATAAATGAAACAGACAACTGGTACCAAGAGTGAAGTAACTGCTGTGACTATATCTGACTATGTGATTGAGATGCTTATGCAACTGGTTGCTGAAGTTGGAAAGGTTTGGAGATGCAACTAAGAAAAGCTCTATCTAGCACAGTGATGGCAAGCCTTTTAGAGTCTGAGCGCCCAAATGCAACCGACAACCCACTTATTTATCACAAAGTGACAACACTGCAATTAAATCTGAATACTAAGGTTTTAATGGAGAATAAAAACCTGTTATCTGATGTTCAGCTAAGGGGCTGACTTGGCTCACATACCAACAGAAAGGGCTCTGAGTATCCATTTGCGGCAAGCGTGCCATAGGTTCACAACCGCAGTCTTAGAATGTTGTGAGTATTGCTTGATGTGTGATATGGTCAGAACTCAGAAGACAAGATGCTGATAGGAATGCAGACACTAAAGGCCAGGCTCAGGAGGTTTCAGCTGGGAATAAGGAGGGAGATTCAGTTCATATTGGATTATAGATCATTCACATTAACGCTGTGTCAGAAATTTTGTCTGTATTCTGCCAATGTTTTGAGACAACTTTCTAGAATGAGTTTTGAGACTGAGATTAGGGTGGTAGACTAACTGATATGGCAAATAAAACATTTTAAAGCAACCCATAGGTACTGCTGGCTCCTTTTAGCTAGATTTACAGTGAAAATCATGAGCCAAAAGCAGTGCCAAAACAAAAATTTCCTGTCTTTCAGAAATGAAGTGCCTGCAAAGTTGGGCAAAGGAGACCATGGTTGCAGGAAAAATTAACATTAAAAAGAAGCCAAGTACATTATATCAGGACAATAGGGAAGATGACTTGAAGGCATTTCAGGAATTGGCAAGAAATAAGAAACAGTGAGGAAATGGTAAAAATGGAACAAGCAAAGAATTCTCTCTTCAAAGAATACAAAAAAAGTAAGAATGTGTCAGGATATATCCAGTATTGTGTAAGCAGATGCGTATGAGAATGGTATTGTGGTTCCTGGAAAAGTGAACTCTGGTGAGATCAAATCTCCAGGAGAATCTAGATGACTAGGTTCTGCAGACTCATTTTGTGCTAAATGAGTTCACTACAGCCTGGTTTTTAAGACTATAATACAAGTTTGTTGGTGCACATTAGAAAACAGGCCTGTTCTATTTAAGGATGACAGGTTTCTCACAGAACAGTTCTTGTCAAGTAGAAATGTTAGTAGATATAGACAAAATACTAGTACAGATTAATGATGAAATGCAATAGAATTTAATTCCTAAAGGAACATTCTGAAATGTGGTTTTCCCTAGCATTTTTAGCCATTCTAAAGTAAGTACACTTTACCCAAATGCAACTCATACTAAGCATCCAATAAGTATGTGAAATCAAGTTGCATACGGCCACAGTTAAAAATTTGCAGTTTCCAGATACTTATTATCACTTTCATATATTTCAAAGTCAAAAATTTTTTCTTTTCTTTCCGGTACCAGGTATCAAACTCGGGACACTGTACTTGCAAGGCTAGCGGTGATACCACTGAGCTAAGTCCCCAGCCCTCAAAGTCAAATCTTTTAAAAATGTTTGTCTGACTGATTCATCAGTGGCTTCTATTTATTATTTTAATTAATAACTATAGCTCGTATGTAAAATATTAATACCAGTATAAACACATTCATCTAAGAAGTTTTTCTTTTTTTAAGGTACTAAACTAACCTAATAAATTATTATGCAACATTAAAGATATGTTTTACTGATCACACTAAAAATTATACCAACCATTTAAAGATTTTTGAATTCTGACAACTGTTATAAAAAGGGAAATACCCAGTGAAGTTATTCCTATCATCATGAAAATTGTGAATATTTTGCAATCAATGTAAAGTGATGATAAAAATTATGAAGACAATCCATTCCATCTGAATAATGTTTTAGTTTCCAAGTTTAGAGTTGAAAACCAAATGGCATCCTCTCAGAAACTAACATAATATATCCAACTTAAAAAGACAGGACATAGAAATGTTGAGAGAAAAATCAAATATCTAAAACCAAAAGAATGTGACATGATACAAATTTCAGTCTCCCCAATGTTTTATGAATAGATCTGCTGCCAAAAATAATTTTTGCAAAAGGAGCCATGCAGAAACCAAACAAAACAAAGGCTATTTTGGTGTTTTTAGTTTTGACAGAATAAAATAATGACATTTGAAGGGTTAAGTTTGGAAACACAAAGGTAGTGATATAAAAGTAGACTTTTTGAATTCATTTAAATTAAAAATTAAACAGGTATAAAGAATTATTTCATAGTACTAAAGTTTTAAAGGGTCAGTATAACTAAACACTGCCCTATAATCCCAAAAGCGTCTTTGTGGTATATTATCCAGGTAAAATAATAACTCAGCCACTGGATATTTATTAGGTATTTCTGTATAAGTTATGTGGGTTACTAAGATCCCAGAGATGTTACTATATCTTTTTGCTGCCTTGAAGAGGTGTGTGTGGGGGTGTCTTACTGGTAACTGAATCCAGTAGCCTTTGTACTGAGCTACCTCTCCAGAAGCCCCTCGTCCTCACTGCACCCCTTTTGTTTTGAGACAAGGTCTTGCTAAATTGTCCAGCTTGAGCTCGAATTTGGGCTACTCTTGTCTCATCCTCCCAGAGTGCTAGGATTAGCAAGACTCTCCGAGTAGAGAACCAAGATAATGGGATAAATAACTTTTTTTAATTGGGGGGGGTTTATATGAGACAGGGTCTCACTATGTAGTTGAGACTGACCTGGAACTCATTATGTAGCCCAGGCAGGTCTTGAACTCACAGCGATCCTCCTGCCTTAGCCACCTAAGTGCTGGGATTACAGGCGTGCACCACCAGGCCCAGCTTTGGGAAAAATACATTTTAATATCACAAAGTATACAAGTTACAGTGTTGTGTGAAGCACAGTGAACCAATTTTATTTGATAGAGAAGTTTCCTTGATATTCTAAGGAACTTAATGTTTGCGCCAATCCCTAACGAATTCACACAGGAGCTTGCCAGATGATAGGACAATCTGGAAGTAAAGGAAATGACATATATGAAGGGTAAAAGTTCAATGCAGCATTCTGAGTTCACAAAACCTAAATATTTTATCATGACAGAATATAAGGTACCTGTGACAATGAAGAAATATGATACAAGGCTGTGACAGAAGTTTCTATTGTGGAAGGTTGGTAACTGCAATGTTAACTGTTTGGGGCTTTATTTTGTAGGCAATGGAAAATCATAAAGTGGACTTCAATGAGAAATAATAGGATGAAATCTGCACTACGAAAAGATTGCTTTAATAAAACCAAGTGAGTGGACTGGTAAGAGACTGCACCAAAGGGTGTGTAGTCTTGAAACAGATTTCAAATCACTACACTAGCAAAAAGGCAACTATGGTTCATCTGTATAAAGACACGGTGAGAGCAGGGGCTGGAGTTCACAGATTTTATTTCTCTCTTGGCAAGAACTGCAAATTTAACATACCTTTTCTCCTAGATGTACTGCCTTGAGTTTCACTGCATTTTCCTTTCTCTACAATTGGTAAATGTGTTTGTTTTTATTGCTGCCATTCAATCCACAATAAGCTTGGTGGCTCAAAGACAACATAAAGTATCTAATCACTCATGTCATTAATCTGAAGAAGGTCTTAGTAGGCATCAAAAACTAAAAGAGTCATTAGGAATGCATTTTTTTCTAGAAGCTTAAAGGGGAAATGATGTCCTTCCACCTTTCAGAGTTTTCCTACATTCTCAGGATCCTGGCTCAACTCCCACAAATGCAGCTCTATTCTGACATTCTCTTTGCCTTTGTGTTGTACAGTAAGGACCTTTTAATCATAATGAACATATTCAGAAAATCCAGGAAAATGAATGAGCAGATATCATTCAGTCTGTCACCTTAATCTCCCTTTGCCAAGTAATGGAACATATTCACTGGTTCTAGAAATCAGGATGCAACTATTTTTGAAAAACCATTTATTTGTCCTATCACAGGAAAGATGCAAGTAAACAATAAAATCAGCAAAAGGCCAACAATTAGAAGAGGATAGTGAGGAATAAAACTCAAAAATATTCACTCAAAGCACAATTACTTATAAGAAATTCAGGCAATTATATTCTTTATCACAGGATAAAGGTTGCCAGAGCTAGGTCAGAATAAATCAAAAATCTTATTTTTAAAAGTTGGGTCATGAAATTACAGGAATCATTTAAGTTATATTTTAATATATATAAATTCTGATGTTGGCTGGGCGTGGTGGCTCATGCCCGTAATCCCAGCACTCGGGAGGCTGAGGCAGGAGGATCGCTGTGAGTTCACATAGTGAGTTCCAGGTCAGTCTCAACTACATAGTGAGACTGTCTCAAAAAACCAAAAAAAATTCTGATGTCTTCTAAATGATACCAGCCATTTACATATTGGGCTACTGACATCTTTGCTACTTTCTAAACCTTTGTGGAATAA